AGTAAATGCATGAGGACCTCATTCTCCTAGGTGTGTGTTGTGTTTCATCTGAAGAACCTAAAATGTAGGGAAACTAATTCTCATGTGAAATTGCTAGTGTCCTCACCTGATTTAGAGTTAGAGTAGTGCATGTTGCCAGGTAAGGGCTCTCAAAGATTTTTAATAGCAAATCCCTCCGTGACACACACTTGCTCAAGAGTGATTTCCCCTTGACATGTAGTCATTTTTCTCCTGATGATATTTCGTGAAGAAGCAACATAGGATTCTATAAAATTAAGAATTGAGAACTTGGATTAAAGTTGACTTCAGTGAGCTCATCACTACACCATGCTTACGCTTCTGTCGAAGAGTTACTTGTATTATTTGTGTCACTAGATAGAGTAGGAGTCAAACATCTCTTCTGTGGTTTTGACTCTGCAGCTGTTCAAATAATATTTTCAGAGAATCCATAGCATCCTGAGTCTGGTTTTATGTTTCAAAAATAGCCAGAATGAGTCGTGTTATCAGAGAAGTCGTTATCATAAACATGATTTACTGAAGTTACTTATTACTGTGATTTAAAATTTCTTGAAGATGAATTTAAAAACAAGATAATTAAAGTGATAAGGGGAAAAATGATTTAATCTAGTCTCTTTTCAAATATTGTGTGTGATGGGATTTTAAAATGAAACAGAAGAGTTAAAATAAGGCTAGATAGTAGTTTCTAAACAAAACACTTGCTAAAACACACCCCAAAAGCTTGCTCTTTACTTAGCTACTGGACCCCACTTTACCCAACCTCTGCTGCGTTGTAGTAAAAACCACCTCGCAAGAGAAACCTGGTCTTTGATTACCTCTTTGTGGATGAGCATTCTAGATAAGCAGACCTGGATTTATCTTCCTTTCCTTTTTCTTTTTTCTATTTTCCAGGACAGTTTTTTTATGCTGGACTATCCAAACACTTTAGCCTGGGTCCCCAAACACTAATGGAACAGGTTTTCTTAGATTAGTAAAAAGTTTGACTTTAAAACCATTTTTCTACTGATGCATGAATAAAGGGGTATAATTTGATATTAGAGTTGTTTAAGTTTCAAACATATTTTTCAGTGTGACTGATAGCCTCCGGCTCTCCCCTTTGGGTCCTCCTGTCATCTGAGTAGCCTCCATTTGGCCTCCACATCCACTGACCATGTTTCCCAGTTCGACCTGTAGGGGCTGGGTCACCCAGCTCCCTTGCCCTCCCTCCAGCTTCTGTCTGGATTCAGAGAGCGGTGGCAGTGACAGGAGATGAGAGGATGGGAGGAGAGAAGATTTCGTGCATTTGCTCCCCTGGCTTTGCCCTGTGGGGCCCTGGCTTCATAGTGCTTCTGGGGAAAGCTCTGTATCGTTGCCCTTTTGGGCCCAGGGCAGGGCCTGTATGCTGCCCCTGACCCTCGGTGCCTCCCCATCCTGGGCCTCCCTTCGGCCCTTCAGTCGATCTCCCCTCCCCCGGGGAAGCCTTCTCTTTCACGTTAGGACCCTGGCTGATAACTTTGGGTTGAAGTAAGTAATGTTACTGTGTTTTAAATCTGGGCCACACTATTGCGGAGGCCAGAGTGAGGTCAGAGCCTAGTGAACAGCGAGGGTAGAGAAGTCTTCTGTTTCGAACTCACTGTGGAAATCAGCCAGTCCTTCAGTCTCTTTGAATTCCAGAACTGACACAAATGAGGAATTGTAATAATAATCATACGAGAACTCATTTTTATGTGCATATATATGTAAATATGTAATATGTAATCGTCTTATCTCCATCTGAAATCTTTTATAAAGTTTTGTTTCATCTGGTCCAGCTGCATATTTCTGCTTTTCTTCCAGTAGGACATCGTATCCGTGGCTGATGAACTTTGTAGAGTGTTGGGGGTCAGACAGGGGTGGGGAGCGTAATGGGAGAGTAATCCACCCGAAATCCGGCGAGCTGTATGGTGTCCTCTCCTTCGGTAAAGTTCTGTGATTCTGTGATTTTCCGCTGTGGGAGGAGAATTTTAAGATAGGACAGCCCTGGTGAGAGGTGAGAGTGTCTGCACATCCTGATGGACCCCCGTGTGTTTAGCTCCGCTGCCTGGTCTGGGCTGATGCATGGGGTGGAGGAGAAGGAAGAGGAGGTGGGGAAGGGGGGCTCTGTCACCATGACTCCTGCCGATGTGACTGTGCTTCCCCTTGGCTCTACCGGACCCCCAGAGCATTCATCCTGTCCCAGTCACAACTGCCTCCGTCCAAATAGTGCTGCTGTCCTGTCTCATTACACCACGGTGGTCTCCTGAGTGACCGCTCCCCATCCTCCCTCGCCCCTGCAATTGTACAAGCCATTCTCCACCAAGAGCTCTCTGCAGTGTGGAGCACGTCCGTCCTCTGCTCACAGCCTCCGCTGTGTGACCGTCGGACTTGGAATAGCAGACTCCTGCCTTGCCTCCAGACCAGGCAGCGTTGTGCTGTGCCTCGGCCCGTCATGCCAGCCAGACGGGCTTGTTGTTCCTCAGGCTCACGAGCTCCTCATGGACACAGTAGGACTTCCACACCTACTCAACTCTACTGGGACTCACAGATCTTCGTGGTTCTGCCTCTTTTACAATAATTTTTACAAGCTTGTTCCAAGAAATGTTTTCCCTTATTTTCTGCGTATTCTCCGTATTAGAATGTTAGTTCTATAAGAGCAGGGCTGCTTGATTCAGTACTATCACTGTGCCTGATATGTAGAGGCATTCAAAAGATCTGGGAATGAATGAATGTAGTCAAACTCCCTGAAAGTATAACATAGGCATTGCCTTGGGCTTTTGGTTATTTTTGCTAACTGGGTTATACAAGACCGTACCTAGAGTAGTGAGCAAAGACTCTGTCCCTTTCATGGTTGCTTCTTAGAACACATGAGGAATTAAATGTCTGTCCCAGTTAGACCTACAGTCCATTCACAGGAAGAAATAAAATGATTCCAATTTATATTAATATTTCCAGACAACCATGACCATCTAACTGATTTGTCATTGAGAGTAAAAGATAAGTAACTTATTAAGGCATTTAATAAAACTTTCTTACCTGTTTATTCTTTCTTTTTTGGCTACCAGTAAAATCATTACTGTTGAATTGTTTTGTCTACGTCATCTTGACAGTGAATATGAATGACAACTGGGTCGTGGTCTTCTCAACCCTAGTAGGCACACTACCTGTGAAATCCCGTCCAGGGAGAAAATTGGTTCCTTGCATCCTACAGTCCCAGTTCTGTTAACATTTCTTGTTTTGTGGACTTACAAGATAAGAAATCTTTTTTGAGGTAAAGCTTGTTAGAATGCTTAGCCAACAGAAATAAATGTTGAGATATATTTGTGAATATAGATTAGAGATTGAATGATTTCAATATTATGGAACAGTCATAGTTTCATGTTCATGTTCTGTTGAATAAACACATAACAAACTCGTTCTTTTAGAAGCCCAAATCCAGAAGTATTCATCCTTTAAACCACAAAGTGCTTAGGAAACTCCCTCATCAAGAAAATATGAGTTTCCTGATCACGTTAAGGGATTTGGTTCTTCACACAGTGTCTGTCTGGGCGTCCCAGGAAGGGTGCACAGAAGTCTCATCAGCTGCTTCGTCTGCCCTGACAGAGAGAAGTGTTCTTAAGAAAAGTGAGGGTGTGGAAGTGATACGTAATTAGGGAAATGGCCTAAAGGAAGTGGGCTGATGGGAAATAAAGGAGCCTTGCAAGTGATTGGCAGCATCCAAGACACAGGTAACAGAGCAGGGAGGGTCTCCCAGATACCCAGGGGTCTGTGTGCAGGAGTGCCGCTACATCAACAGACAGCCCTTAATATGCCGTCTGCCCTGCTGGGGACGGGCTCAGGACTCAGGGCAGGGCTGTGCCCCTGATGGGGACCATCTGTGGGGCTACGAGAGGTAAGGCAGCTTCTGCAGCGGCAGATCCCTGGGACTCGTTAAAATGTGCACGTGAGCTGGAAATGGTCACTTCTCATTCGTTACACAGTTTTGTATCTTTCTAGATGATTTGCCTTTTAAATTATGTAATTTGCTTCATAAAAGTTAAAGTCAGTATGTTAAATTCCTTACTAATCAGCAGTTCGTGCCACCATCAAGCATAGATTTTATTTAGGGCAACCACATGTCCCTAGACCAAATCTGTGAAAATGGTAGGGCTATGTCCATTTGAAGTCTTCAAGCAGTTTTTTCTTTCTATTCAAGAGGAAAGATGTGGGGCACCTGGGTGGCTCAGTGGATTTAAAGCCTCTGCCTTCGGCTCGGTTCATGATCCCAGGGTCCTGGGATCAAGTCCCGCATCGGGCTCTCTGCTCAGCAGGGAGCCTGCTTCCTCCTCTCTCTCTCTGCCTGCCTCTCTGCCTACTTGTGATCTCTGTCAAATAAATAAATAAAGTCAAAAAAAAAAAAAAGGAGGAAAGATGAAACCAAGCCACATTTAGGGAAAAAATAAGTCAAAATGTGAATGCAAAGCAACTGAAAAAGAGAACTCATTCCATTTGGAGGTTAGAGTTTGCACAGTGTGGGGAGGCCACTCCCGTCACACCCGGTCTCTGAACTTGGAGGACAGCGAGCGCGCCGAGGACCTGCCCCGCTCTGGCCTTGTCTGGTGTTGCGGGAGCTGTGGGGAGGCCGCCCTATTCTCCGCACCTCACATTTTTCTTATATCAACACTTGAGGTAGATTTATTTTCTCCAAGGTTTCTTCACCCTGTACATTTGCAGAACTCCGGGAGGACGGAGGTGGGCCCAGGGCTATGCCCACACTGTCTTGATTACAGCAGTAACCCTGAGGCAGCAGGGGCGTATGGTAACCCCTCACAGGGCGGTGACGGAGGGGGCCCGTGTCCTTCCAGGTGAAGCAACACTGCTCTTCCATTCCACTTGCTTCCCTGCCAAGTAATGACTACTGAAGCCTTCTTGAAAATGCACAAGTGTTTCTAGCCTTATTGCAAGCGTGCAAATGCCAGGCTGAACTGTTTTGTGTTCTTGTGTTCTAGAGATCGTGTCATTGGTCTGATGATGACTGCCTGTGATCTTTGCTCTGTAACAAAACTGTGGCCGGTTACAAAATTGACAGCAAATGATATATATGCAGAATTCTGGGCTGAGGTATGTTTTTTTATCTTTATATGAACATTAAAAGTGAGAAAAAGTCTGATGAGAAAGTAAATATATGGGTACATTCGTAACAATGTCTTAGTAGCTCAGGTTGCTACTTACTTCAGAAAACTCCTGCCCGTCCACATGCAACAGAGGCATTAGCATTTCCACACAGATGTAAGGACATTTATACAGACATCCAGCCATGATACCGTGGGTCCCTCCGTGTCACAGGCTGTATGTGTCTGCAACTGGAAACTGGGGACATGATCACCTTGTGCCATAGACATACGAGATTCTGTCAATATTCCAGACAGTCCATTATGAGTTCCACAGAATATGTGGGCTTCTAACTCGTGATAGTCCTGACATGAGGCAACCGTGGGACTTTACTTTCATTAGTACCTTTTCTTGACTGAATTACATCAATTATCAGAAATGTGTGCTAGATTTCTCAATTTGCTTTCTGAATTGTCCAGGAAGGAGCACAGCATTCTCTTGTTCACATGAACCCACAAATACCTAGCCCCCTGCATATTCAAAGATGACTTTAAGGAAACAAATGAAGCAAAATGTTTGTGTACCTCCTCCTGAAGAAGTAAATTTGGAGGGTGAACGGTTTGGTCATTGCTGATTCAAACTATTCAGCCTCACCCATATAAAAGAATGGATGTAAAAAGTAAAAACCAGCCAATCATTCAGTTCATAGTTCAGTAGAAACGATTTATAATGTTAAATTTTTTCACAATGGCAAAGCCAAAAATGTTTGTTGGGTGAGGACCACAGACCTGGAGAGTTATTTCTCCAGAATGCCTACACAGTATGTGCCCAAACTCCTGCATGATTTTTCTTATTCTATAGTGTGTATCCCTGAATCTAGTTACTGTCAGACTCAGTTAAGAAGATTGTTTTAAAGATACATGTCTGAACTATAATCCCTAACTTTATTACCCGTTAACTTAATTCACATATGTGTCTAAAAGTAGTAACCTGCAACACATTCTGTAAATATCACATACGGAGAACTGGTCTGAAGTTAGCGTATTGTTTTGCAAATAATTTTATTTAACTGATGTAATTCATACTTTCACAGCTGTATTTGTATTCTAAAATACGACTCAAAATGTGACATATGTTATGTAGATTTTCCCCTCTGTATTCTGCACTGATTAAACAGTGCACAAAGATTTGATTAAGCTCCCAAAGTGCTCATGGATGCCATCTTCAGGGACCTCGCAGTCCATGGGAGGAAGCAGAGATCATGACCACTGCGTCTTGCCGGCTCGCCTCCCAGATGTCTGCTGTGTCCCGTCTCTGTCCCCACCGCCTACCCCCTCTCCCTGCCTTTTCTTTTAGAGTTAGACTAACAGTCACACAGAGTGCGCTCTTTGATGTCCTGGTGCTGGAGATGGGTGTCCTGCTGTAGCAGTTGGGATCAAACCTCACACCAGCTTTGTGACTCTTCTCTGTGCCTTCGTTGTCACATCTGCAGGCTAGGGATGGCTCTAATTCTGTTCCCAGTCTGTCCCTCCATGCTGTTGTGATAAAGACAAAAATCACGAACTTGACCTCCAAAACCCACAGCCTCACCAGGCTATTCCACGTCTCAGCCCCTCTGGATTCCCTGAGTCAAGTCCCTCTCACAGCCATCTAGGTCAGCTTCGAGACCCCCCAACCCCCGCCCTGCCCTCTGCAGCTTCCTCTGCCAGCCCCACACTGGGCCAGATCTCCCTTGGATGCGTACTCTGCAGCACTGCACTGCTCTCCTCTGTAGCCTTGATCCTATTTGTGAGAACTGTATGTAGTCAAATCTTTATTCAGTCTTTTTACTTATGGGGCTTCTAATAACCTTGAGCAGGGGCCTGTGCAATTTCACTCACTTAGAAAAGGAAAAGAAGGGCGCCTGGGTGGCTCAGTGGGTTAAGCCTCTGCCTTCAGCTCAGGTCATGATCTCAGGGTCCTGGGATCGAGTCCTGCATCGGGCTTTCTGCTCAGCAGGGAGCCTGCTTCCCCACCCCCCTGCTGGCCTCTCTGCCTCCTTGTGATCTCTCTCCGTCAAATAAATAAGTAAAATCTTTAAAAAAGGGGCACCTGGGTGGCTCAGTGGGTTAAAGCCTCTGCTTTCGGCTCAGGTCATGATCCCAGGGTCCTGGGATCGAGCCCCGCATCGGGCTCTCTGCTCAGCAGGGAGCCTGCTTCCTCCTCTCTCTCTGCCTGCCTCTCTGCCTACTTGTGATCTCTGTCTGTCAAATAAATAAATAAAATCTTTAAAAAAAATATTTAAGAAAAAAAGAAAAGGAAAAGAAGAAGTTTGAGAACCACTGAATTAATATTTAAAGTGGTAACATTGGAGTAGAAGCTGTATTTCAGGTGCCTCCATCCTGCAGTAGAACCCTCCGTGGGTGTCCTCGACCTCTGCGCTTGGCCTCCGTCCTGCAGTAGAACCCTTCGTGGGGGTCCTCATCATTTGTTTTGGACCTACCTTAGCAAATCTAGGATGTGTTTAGTTCTGTACCTCTGATTTCTAAAAATAAGCATGATTGTGAAATAATTAAAATAATTGAATAATGAAGAAATGTGAGGGATAGCAGGGTAGGAAGGTAAACGTTGAGGTATGTTGAGAAAGAAGATTGTAGCCATCTTTAACAAATTACTAAAAAGACGAAGATAATTTAAAATCTATAAAATGTGGATAACATTATATATAACTCCTAGTCTTTCATGAAGCTTAAATGAAATATTTGCTTGTTACCTACCCCAGAGCCTGCAAAATAGAAAAACTTCAATAAACATCTGTGAGTATATCCTGTATGGCGATGTGTAGCCAATTACACTGTATCTTTACTAACACATTTTAGCAGACCATTCTCGATATATAGTATTTCTCCTTAAAGCCTCGCCTCATCCCATTCAGCACACACGAACATTCATTTGAAGAATAAGTGAGGAAAGAGCTTGAGATCCTTCCATTCTTGTTCTTTTTTGTCCTCCTCACTATTCTGTTGGTCTCCCCTTGTCACGACTTTCATTAACTTCTGCACAGTAAAACCGGGAGAGATGGCTGCGCTCCTGGTAATTCAGTTGAGAATAACATAGGATAAAAACCAAACAATGATACGTTGTTTTCATTGTTTTGACATTTGTTTGGGTCAACTAAACAAAAACATTATCCATTGTGAAGAAAATTAATGAATGAAGGGAACAACTCATTAATACCAAGACTTGAGAGCTGTTTATAAGTTGACAAAGCTTGGTTTTTTCCATTTCTCTTAGGGTGATGAGATGAAGAAGCTGGGAATACAGCCTATTCCCATGATGGACAGAGACAAGAAGGATGAGGTCCCACAAGGCCAGGTATGGATTCTGTCGAGAAGTCAAATAATTAAAGGCAGTCATAAAATCACACGTAAATTCAACGTATATGCCATCTCGTAGAACCCAGGACCACTTGGAACCTTCTGTGTTTAGAAGGAGTTTGGGGACAGGAAGGCCAGGATAAGAAATCCTAGTTGGGTTTAAAGAAGCCACAGCTACCCATGCCATCAGCTCCTTCTACAGATGGAGTCATGGCAGCGACTGCTTGAAATGGGGGGATGGATGAGTTGGAATTGTTAGTGTCTTTAACAAGCAGAAAAGCTTTCATCACTGAATGCGCAAAGTTATTTTTTAGAGGGTAACATTATAGAGATTCTCACCAGGCCCACTTTTCCTAGCAAACAATGCTTGGTATTCTAGTACATTCTGCGTTTTGTCTTACCAACGGTTGATATTAATTATTAGTTTTGCAAGTCTTACCACATGATTTACGTCAATGTTTTGACAGCTCTCGTGCCTGTCCGTTTTGCGTGTGTGGTATGATCTGTTTCTCAGATTATAGTCTTTTTAAACTACCAAACTTCTAACACCATAACAGGGAAGTTAGTTATGGACAAATAATTATAGGATTTCATTTAGAAAACATTTTAGAAAACTCACAGGATGATGGTTTTGGATTAAGTTCTCAAGCTTTCCTATTTCAATTAAAGTTAATTTATTCACTATTCATACCAAAGTTGAGGCAAGTCTGCAGTTCTCAGGAAACGTCGGCACAGAGAAGGGCCACGTGGTTTTCTCCCCATCAGGGTCCGAGGTTCTCAGTGTGCTCCCGTTCCTAGCCGCCGCCCGTCCCATCGGGCGCTCCCTGTTCCTTCCCTACTGAACACGCACCGACGTGCCCGGCCCCACGTGCCTGGTGCCTGTGGTTCTTGCAGTTTACTTTCCTGTTACTGTTGTTTATGGAACTTTCCCATATATGTGCTCACAGACCTCTGTCTTCCCTGCCTGGCGTCTGCTTACCATGCATGTCCTATTGTGAAGTTCCTGTCCAGCTGTGTGGTTGTAAAAACATTCACTCTCTTTAGTTACTCTTCCTTCCATCGTTCTATATTTGACTTGTTAATTCTTTTGAAACTTATCTTGTCATATGGCTTAAGATAGGGATCTAACAAAGTTCTTCTTTCTAGATAGTTAAGCTGTCACCCCAACAGAGCACACAGGAGAGCAGGAAATGCCATTAGAGGACATGCTCCGTTCTAACGCCTTTTAATTAAGAGAAGAGTTTGGGGTTTTGCCAAAATTGCAGATCCGTTTATAGTATGAGCGAGTTTTAAATAAAATATCTCTGTGATCGGCTAATATTTTGCCAACTGTATTACTTCTGAACTGTGACTACCATTAAAATGTTCTTTCCATAATAAGAAAATACTCTACTTTCCAAGATTTCTTTCTCGAGATCTTCTGCTCCATGATATCTGCTAAAATATTGAAATAAGAGAAGTCTCTGTGTTGACTTACAAAGTCAAAGATAGGCATGCACAGGCATTATGCTAAGAAGGTGATTGTGATGATAGACTCCGCAACAGCAGAAAGCAGAAAGGGACCCAGGAGATTCCATTCTTCTGTATCCTTTGGTGCATCTCCCTGAAGTTCAGTTTTTTAGAGAAACTGGTAAGCCCTGGTTTGGGGTCCCCCATCCAGAGAGCCCGTCATATCTTATCCACGGTGTCAGCCACTGGGGCGGTTACTGTAGCTAGACCATCTGCATTCTCTGCCGACAGCCTAGGGGCCGTTTGTATCCAGCCTTCCTGAGGCCAATCTGGGCCAGCAGCATTTACTGTGGCCTGAAATTCCTAATAAAATGCCATTTAATATATTTTTTAAAGTACCACAGCTGAAAAACTGTGAAATTGAGCATATTAAGAGAACTGTGACATGAGAGAACGAGGATACAGTCCGTGAGATTTGTTGTAGGTCGAGAACAGGGAGGGGGAGGAAGAAAGTCTCGGGAGACCACGCGAGACACCCACAGCCGAGGGTAGCAAGCCCACGGAACACCTGCACCAAGTCGCGAGCTCTGAGCTGGGGAAGAGGCCACCGAATAGAAGAAGGGCAGGGTCGACTCTGAAATGTCCGTGGTAGAAAACGAACTTTGGCCAGCGACAAGAACAGGGCTTGAATTACAGCTTGACTGGTCCGTAAATGGAATCTCATTGAATGTTGAACTTGGGTTTGGGATGAACTTCTTTTTGTGTGTGTTATTTCGAGGATGGTTTTAAGGCGTTTTTAAAGGCACCGGCAGCCGTGTTCATGGAGCCTCCATATCGGGGGACAAAACTGGAACATTTCACAGTTAGGGTTGAGAACAGAAGCCTCAGCTGAGAGGTTGTCGCTAACGTACCCTTTTGTGTCTTGTGCGTGGCTCTGCGCGGGGCAGCTGGGCTTCTACAACGCCGTGGCCATCCCCTGCTACACCACGCTCACGCAGATCTTCCCGCCCACCGAGCCGCTCCTCAAAGCCTGCAGGTACGTACAGGCCGGCGGGCTGGGAGGGCGCAGGAGGAGGAAGACCCGGGCGGAATGTTCCTCGCCGCGGCGCGCTGCGTCCCGCTGCAGGCCACTCTGATGTCGTTTCGTGGGCTGCGTTTGCCTCGGTAGCAAGGCCACGTCAGGGTGTTCATAAAGTCCTTCGTTCACGAAAAAGGAGCAGGAAGGTATCTGGTTTGTTTTGTTAGGATCCAGGGATCCACGCCCAACGCGTTTTTAAAAATACGGGCCCATAATGTGTGTTCAGGGCTGCTTGCTGGGGAGGGACTCAGCTTAATCCCACAGTTCGCTGTGCGAAGGGGGAAGGAGGGGGGGGGAGGGAGGGGAGGGGGGGGAAGGGAGGGGAGGGGGGGGAAGGGAGGGGAGGGAGGGGAAGGCGAGGGAAGCCGTGACTGGGACCTTCTTTCTCTGTGAGTTTTAGTTTCTTCCCAAAGAGGGATGAGCCCCGTCTCATCCTTCCCAGCTTCAGACTCCCCTGCATTCTTTTCTCATAGCTTTTGAGGGATGCGCTTAGCTGAGAACACGAATTTTTTAAGATTTTCATGTTACTTTGAAAAGAATTTGCCTCTGGGGAAGTCAAAGGGCAATGAGCAGAGCAGCCATATGTGCTGCTTTTCTGCAAGAGACCTGGCGTCCCGCTGGTTTTTCTAACTGTTCAGCCACGGAGCACCCTTGGGGGTTGGGTGGGCACACAGTCCGGGAGAGAACAGATGTGGGATTTTAAACAAATCCGAGGCCTTTGGTATACCGCCACCCTCTGCTGTTGAAACTTATTTCGTGAATTAATTATCATGAGGAAAACAAAGGAAACCAATAAGGAGGGAGATGGGGGGAAAAAGATCCCGTTTTTTCCTGCGGAAGCGATGGTTTCTCTTCTCTGCTCTTGGGGAGTGAACGTAACACGCCAGCTGCTTTCCTGAGCGGTCACTGACCTTCCTCTGCAGCGAGTGCATCACAGTGTCGTCTTATTACCTCCGGGCTAAGCCGTGTGGACAACGTGGAGTATGAGCTGGGACTCATTCCTAGTGGAACTGGGTTGGACAAGTCAGTGCCCCACCAAAGAGAAATGTCGATATCAATCAAAATCCATGTCATTACAAACAAAATCGTAGGTAACAGTCAAAAGTCCTTTCCTATTTAAAAATTATCTGTATTTTCCGTGAACTACCCAGAGCCGGCAGAATGAGCGCTTGCTGTCGTTGCCGAGCGGGAGGATAGGGATTCCTCCGTCCCAGCAGACTGGATGCGTTCTTGCTTCATCGTACCTGGCTGAACCACAGAATCTCTTTAAGGCCATTTTAATCTTACTAACACTTAAAAAAATTCATTGGTGTCTAAGGAAACATGGCAAACTCAGTTTAGTGTCTATTTTCCAGTATATCAAAGATCTCTTTAGGCTCTGGGCAAATAATATGTGGTAATATGACACAGAAGCTAAAATTATTCCATTTTTCAGGATACACTTTAGAGATTTCTTTCATCCAGAGGTGTCTTTTCATTGTGCGTGCTTTGTATGAACTTTGCGTTTGCCAGTGCAAGGTTCCCTTCTGATTTTGGCTTTGTGCCTAAGAAAGCAAGGTACGAGGTGGGGAGCGTTGATGAGATCTCTGCCCGGCCAGCCACATGGGGCGGGGGCGGTGCTCACTCTGTTCAGGGAGATCAGGATGCCGTAGCATTTGAACCGCAGATTTGGAGAGAGAAAAACCGTTGGACAGGGGACGAGCAGGCTGAGTCTGAGACCACAGGGCGCCAGAACAGAAAGACGCCTTTGCCGCAACAGAGAAACCTCTAACGTTGGCACCGCGCGTAACGTACAGGGACTTTTTATATACGACACAGTGTTCAAAATAAGGCTACTCCCCAGTTTCCGGTATGAGGTGGCAGGGACCCCAAGTGGCATACTGTGTCCGCCTGCACAGCGGGAGCTCCTGGCTGTCGGTGCTGCGGCCGAACGTTCTTGCCACCAGGGTTCCCTTCCTCTCCATTGACCATCGTGCTTCTGGCTAGGACACCCTGTGGCTTGTGCCCCTTCCCAGGTCCTCCTTCCTCACTGATTATGAAATGGTGTGTCCTGAGCTGAGCTAAGCAGTTGCCCCGTCGCCTAGAGCTCCTGGGACAAGGTTCCCAACCCCCCAACCTCCCGATCCTTGCTGGCCGCAGGCTCTGCTGCAGAATTGAGCTTCGGGACCTCATCAGGGAGCCTCGCTGGGACCCTGCACCTCCCAGCGGCTGCTCATTGTTGGCCTCAGAAAGGTGCCAGAAGGCCACGGTGCTCACCTCTGCCTCGCAGGGTGGGGGATGGGATGAATGATGGAGACTGGCCCAGAAATCCTTTTTTAAACACCCTTGTCCCCGCATCTCTTATCCTTAGGAATAACCTCAGCCAGTGGGAGAAGGTGATCCGAGGGGAGGAGAGCGCCGTGTGGATCTCATCCCAGCCCGCGGCCCACGGGCCCTCGGAGAAGCTGCCTGTGAAGATCGACGACTGACGGCCGCTCGAGCCGTCCCGCCTACACGTGCTCGTCCTGCTTCTTTGACTTTTCTTCCTTTTCTTTTCGTGGGGGGAAACCTACACCTGGTAACTAGGGCACAAGCCTCTCGAAGAAGGTAGCATCAAGAGAACACGTCAAGCCGATGACTCCCCGCCAGTCTCCTCTGTGACGCGTCAGAGACGGTGACCGCCCAGGACCACCCCGTGACCGAAAGCCGCCGTCCCAGGGGCTCCGTCTGCTTCGTGAACTGGCCTTTCTAACAGGCGCAGTGGCTGAGGCCTTAGTGGAAATGGACAAGCATTATTCAGAAGGGGGTACTTTTCCATTGTATCTTTCTAGGGAGGGGTTAACGTGGTACTATTATGGTATTGTGCTTTGGCTTAAACACCAGTGTTGCTTTGATGTTGTTGGTTATAAATAGGAATTTTTACACATTACTGTTGTGAATGTTCGTGTGTGACCTACTCGTAATTAGCGTGAATTACAGCGGACAGCCTTGGGACAAGCGCCGCTGTGACAGTAAGTGTCTTTCTGCAGTCAGTGATGGAAACTAGATTCCTGTTTCAGAGCCTCGTGAATTAAAAGCGAGGTGGATGAAAAGTGTGTTCTTTAAGTTTATACTAAGGGGCTTGGATGAATAGATTTACACTAAAGGAAGTAGCCTTTCTATCCTCTTGAGAAGAGATGCAGATATACATCAGAATAAATCTCAGAACTCCTAGTATCAGTTCAAAAAATGTCAAAGAACTTTTTTTATTTTTTGTTTCCTTCGTTGTAGGCACGTTTTCTAAACCCTTTGCATAAAGAACAACAACAAAAATAAGCCAGGCATATGAATTTGTCTTAACAGGTCTTACGGGATGTCAAATGTGAATTTTAATAATGATTTCTTTATATTTTCACTTGGTGTCATTGCAAAATTTTAGACTCACATTCAAAGTGAGAGGTTTATTCTATGAATTATTTAATTAAAATACCATACATTTCTCTTAAAACCAAATTAAACCATAAAATTTAAGTCTTGTGTAATTTTTACTTTGCTCTGATGCACTCATCCCCCGGTCCGGCCCCTGCTTTGTGCTCCCCGGTCCCGTTTCCCAAGTGCTCTGTCCACGACGGGAGGGAGGAGAACACAGTGCGAACGCATCGTGGCGCGGTTCTGTTCTCTCTCCTCTGCTCCAGTATCAAGTGTCTACATCCAAACCTGTAGTTTGGACAGTCTTCTGTATAATTTTTGTAGACTAATATTACTCTACAATGTAAGTGTTTTGAAAAAAAAAAAACAAACCCACACAAAAGTAGAGGTCTGGACCCCTTCCTACGAGGATTATAAGCCAGTCACTTCTGGTGCACATGAAAGCTGTCGAGATTTTTAGCGCAATGGCAAGGTCACCTCCAGAGCTGTGCTTAGTCCTGACCTGAAGGACTGAGAGAACTAGAGTCTCAAGAAGTGATCGGCAGATCCGTAATAAACAGCTTATCTGCTGTTCACTTGGCAGGAAACTGGAATATTACTTTTGATAAAATAAATTTTTAAAATAATGCTTTTACATATTCAGTACTGTACACACTGTTATCCATATGGTTTTTGCAAAAAGAAATCACATGTTCCTACAACATGATTTAAGTTGTAGCAGAGTTAGGTATATAGAAACATTGTTCTTATTTTAAATTTAACTCTATGTGTTCCATTTCCCTCTGGGCTTCTGAAAGTTGCCATCTTCCCTCCCTGGCACTCCACTTGCTATTATGGTTATACAATATGAGATAAAATGAAATATCTAAAGAGAGAAATACCACCGTGGCTTGACACACACCTACGGAAGTACATATGTATAAAGGATAGAGATGCAAACACATCTATAGAAAGTAAAAATCGTCCCCATTCTTCAAAACCCGATTTTTTGTGTGTTGGAAAATGTGAGCAGCAAAGTCCTTTTTTCATGTTAGTGCATTTATAGAATTGAATTCTAAAATGTTGAATGTTTTTCTGCGCTCAGGTTTATGAAACTGGACCCACCCAATCAAATTTCAATCCCAAGAGTTAGTATGGCCATGTATTGGAACTCGACTGACTCGAAATACCACTGGAGACGGTTTAATTAAAAAGATCTTAAAAGAATGCATGAATTTTGCTTTTTGATGTAGGAAACAGTCCTGAGGGGAGGGAATCTCATGGCTATTTTTGCTTTTTAAGATTGCTTTTCTAAAATTACTACCAAAAATTCTCTTATTTTGATAGAGCCAGCTGTCTTATATTATTGACCTTGTACCTTGGACAGTTTTCCAAAGAAACATTCATGGGTTTATAGGTTGGTTGATTTCTCTTGATATATTGTCATAATCAAAGCAAAGTTCGAACAAAGGAAGGACTGTATTCTAATGTAAACTGTTAATATTCTTAAGATCTAGTTAGGAATCATTTAGCTTAAATGGGCTCAAGATGCAGTGTTATTTAGTCAATAATTTGCTTTGGAAAACATGCAGTTAGGATTATTTTTGTATTGGGGCAGATATACTTAGCAGACAAACTTTTGAGTTCTGTTCTCATCTTTTTCCCAGATCTTTTCTTGAAAAGGCAGATGGTTTTTATTACCAGAGGTTTTGACGAGTTTCTCATGAAGGTGGCATTTTATATTGGGCCCAAATTTCCCCATTCGGTATAAATTTGGTAGCCAGCTGTTCAATTTGTGGAAGTTTTTATTGGTTGTGCTGATTTATAACAGACACAATTTTCTTGTCAAATGCAATTATTTCATTATCTTCCCAGAGACAGTGAATAAAGTTTTTAGCTAGAAATTTTCTTGGAAATGCATGCCAACAACATGAAATACTGAATGTAGGCAGAGGAATAAAACTCTAAAAATTGCAAGCATCTTATTAATTAGTAGTTGACTTTGATTTAATGAATTATTTTAAATAAAATGGATGTGGAAAGTAATTCTCAAAAACGGCCCTTTTCCTGGGGCAAGATTGAGATCCACTTCCCAGCTCTCGTTATCCCCACGGGGCTCATCAGAAAGCGGTCATGGAAGAGAGACCACGCGGAACAACTTAGCATAGCCGTCCTCATCCGGACTCTTCCCTCAGCAGGAAGGATAGGGTGCCACTGGAGGTGACTTTTCTCACGACGATGCAAACAGAACTACTTTGAAACAGGATTTGTCCAGTGTAGGTTTCCTCTTCTTAGCATGCTTTTCAGATAGCTTTAGATTTTTTTAAGTTTTGTACAGTCTCAGTGACTTTGCTTTATTGGTATGTTTGGGCATACTAGCTGTGTTTGTACAGGACACACATAGACGCATAAAACCTTAGCTCCCCGGATTTTTTAATAGATTTAGTTTGAATATTATGTTCTGGTCTTTTAACTCAAAATTAAGGTTTGAGCTTTAATGGAACTAAATTATTCACCACGCCTTGGCCTGTGCCTTTATTTTAAATACTATAATTTTACTTCTTTGTTCATATATTTATTATTTTGCTTTTCTTGCTTAACTAGAGCTAAAAACATCTAAAGGGACATACCCGTGGTAATTGGATCAAACCGAGTGGATAGGGCCATTCTCTCCTCGTCAGAATCCTGTCCTTTATTTGGGGTCATTCACACATACCCTGATGACTATAAGCAGCGAACGGTTCAGATGTCATCTTTTTTGCAAGAACTTCCAAGAACTGTGACACAGTTATGGCGGGTGTGATTTTTTTGGGTTTCAGGTACCTATGCATGATTTAGAGTTTGAAAATCACTTCTGACCTTTATCTATTTCAGACACGTGTTTGCTTTCTACACTTTGCTGATTTTATTTAGGGTTTAATTCTTTAAAGACTTACTCATTTAGTCACATTAATGTATCCCTTTTATTGCCTGACTTTAAATTCTGTAGAATGTAACCTAGCGGAGTATGCCATCGGTTCTTGTGCCCCCTCCCTGTCCCCTGCCTGTCAGCGGTGCATGGCTATTCTGTTCAATCTTTGCACAGGTGTTTACCCTGATAGACATTCTGCCCATTTCTTTAAGCACTTATTCTTAAGTTTCAATTAGTGATTCCCAAAGCAGCACTATACCCTTTCTGGATTTTATCTTTTTTTGTCCTGGATATTTTGGTTGTCTGAAGCACTAGACGCATTTCTGTGATGGTAAAAATAGCAGAAAAGAAAGAAAGAAGTTTCAGTGGTGTTCTGGTTCTAAATTAAAGGGGTGTGATAAGGAGAAAGACATTGTTTCCCAAGACATGCTATTTCAAATTCAAAGAAGCATTACTGTCTTCACTCACCTGCTCCGATTCTCCCCCTCTTCAGCCCCACAGTGGACAGCAGTGCCGTTTGCCTCCCGCATCGCTGGACCTCGCTTTAAAGCGAGCGTGAGCAATCGGTCACTGAACGCGTGCAGACCCGTGTGTGCCTCTGCTGGGTCGGTGTCTTTCGAGGACCTGGCCTGCAAGTTAAGAACTGAATGCCGTGTGTCAAGTAGAGAAGTCCGTTTATACACGTGCCCACTGCCAGCCGGTAGCTTGAGGTACTGTGCGTGTGCAGAAGTATAAATGGAAGGTTTCGTTCCTGCTGCAAGGGAGGGTTGCGAAGTATCATCTGGTCCTTCAGCTCACCTGAAATACGATGAGACCATAAGTGTTGCAGCTTTTGTTTTTCCTTTAGCCACTTGAATAATATGCAGTCCTGTGCCATCTCTCCAACAGCCAATGTAAATGCCACAGGGGAGCATTATTTCCCGTACGATCTCTTGTATGGTGTATGTTCTACGCATGCCTTTGGTGTGCACATTGAAAGTTCAACAGATTGATCTGGATTCTAGATCGATCTAGAAGGTATTTCTAGACAATGCCCGGACCTATTCACCTGACCCAACCCAGTGACCCACGTGAAATCCTGTGCTTGCCCAAACACTGTGAAAGTTACCAAAACTTAGAGATAGGCAGCATCTTGAATCTTTCTGAAAAGGAAAGGTGGCTTTCTGTAGAAACAAAAGAATCCTATATCCC